TAGCAAAGGTGGTTTAAACTTATTTTTTCTTAGCCTTATGCTTCCACGTTTTCTTATTCTAATCTCTTTAGTTTCACGGTCGATTCCTAGGAGCTTGGCTTTGCTTAGCCTCGCTTCACTTACTTGGCTTGAACGCGACATCAACGCTAAAGCCGGACACTCACTGCGGCGTACACGACGGTCGTACGACCGTCGCACGACGAATCCATATTTGCTTCCGGCGAGCGATAGACGACGCAACGCCGTCTGCTGATTGTCAGTGGCAATCTGAACGGATGCTCATTAAAAAGACGATCCGTTGGATCCGCGTCTTTGCGTGCGTTCTTCGTCGCGTCGCCGTCGCACGCAGTGAGTAACAGGCTTTACAGTTAGATCGGCGGTATTGTAGGCTAATTTTGTCTAATTTGCAGCGCCCTCAATAGTATGTAAATGTGTATCTACCATTAATTGTAAATTTTGAGATTTAATAAAGCCTGTTAGTTCTTCAGTTTCGCAAAATTCAATTTCTGATGTCTCGTTAATTTTAAAATTTCATTACATCGCAAACTTCTCCGGAAGAGTGGGGGTACTACTCCCCCATCAACTAGCTTACATAATTATATTACCACTGGTCTTCCTATTTAAATACGTTGAAGTGTAAAGTTATTAGTGGTCATGAGCACTTAGTCTAGGCCTAGCTTGAATCCTCGAATATTAAGTGCCACGCCATTTATACAATTTTTGGAGGCTTCAGTGCGGCGCTTGTTTGAGAGCGTCGCTTATTTTAAAAAAATATTGGTGTGGCGCTTTCCATGGGTGTTACCTACCGTAACTCACGTATTCAGTAGGCCTATTGGAAGGCCAGAGGATTTGAAGACAACAAATGATTGAGACCGTATCCGACCGTAAAGTATGGAGATTTATTAAAAATCAGCATTCAATTCTGTCAAGAAATGAATAAAGCAGTTTTGAGTAATCTATCATTTATATCATAAAACTACCTGTTTAACAAAATCATTTTAAGCAATTAATCATCAAAGTCTAACACAGTTTATCATATTCGTTAATATTAATTATAATCATGAAATCAAAAGCATGTTACCTATTATTGTACAGTTAAGCATTAACCATATCATTAAGTCAAACCGTCTAAAATTACAGCATTCAAGCATTACTTAATTTATCATCAAGTCAGTACAACATAATTAACCATTAAAAGCAATGCATTCCCTTTATGTCATTCAATTAAATCCTTAAAAATTAATTAACAGTTTTGTGTTCATTTAAGCACATTACTTACTACTGTGACCGGATACTAAGCAACAATCATACAGTTCATTCAGTAGAGTA